GTAATGTGCATTCTGGTTCATCCACAAAAGGGACTGGACTCACTAAAATTTATGCTATAGATGTCTATGATTTCTGTGGACAGTATTACAAAGTAAAAAGTAGCTTACATGTTAAAGAGATAACCAGTATTAATATATCTGATGGAGCGTTTACTCTCCTGATTAATGTTTGACAAGTAGGGAGAACACTGACGTTTGACTGCCACCAGAAAAATAAGCAGTGTCCTTGTTGGGAGAAGCAGAAAACTGTTTGTGGCATTTGAATGCTACTAAAGGGAAAGCTTTTCCTAAATTTATTTCTGTAAAGAGAATAGAATTATTTTTTTTAATTTTTATTTTTTAATCCTCATCTGAGGATATTTTTCCTTTTATTTTTTCAGGCAGGGTGGGAGGGAGAGATGGAGAGAGAGAGAAACATCAATGTGAGAGAGACACATTGACTGATTGCCTCCCGCATGACCCTGACCAGGGCCCCAACCAGGGCTGGGGACCAAACTGCAACCAAGGTACATGCCCTTGACCAGGATCGAATCCTCAATTCTTTGGTCTGTGGGCCGACGCTCTAACCATGAGCCAAACCGGCCAGGGCAGGAGTTTTGAATTATTAACAGAAAAATTTCTGCATTGAAAGTTAGGCAGTAGATGTTAGCCAATATTTTTAAAGCAACCACTAAATGCCAGGTTCTTTGCTCAGTGCTAGGAGATGCTGTTTGGACCGAGAGAAGACTCCTGTGTGTGCTCAGAGGCCTCACTGTGTGTGCAGCAGCTGCACAGCCGCTGACCGTAGCACAGTGCTGACTTTCCTAAGCTTTCGAGGGTTTGTCGAGCAAAGTTTGCCTCTGGAAGAACACTAGGCAACTGAGTGAATGTCAGATAATGGGTAAAACACATATTGTTGCTCTTTAATTTGTAAGGAAATGTGTAATATCTTTATTTATTTATTTATTTATTTCATTTTTACGTAATTTATTTTTGTTACAGATGTTTCTCCTTTTCCCCCCATGGAAACCCTCCTCCCGATCCCGCAAAATGTGTAACATCTTTAAAATTTTTTAGCTTACTAATAGGAAATGTTTGACTACTTTGAGGGTATATCTTTTTGAAAATGTGGTTGACAGAAATATATTAGAAATGTATGTGTGAATGATGAACCAGATAATTTATAGTTGAAAAAGCTCACTCTCGGTGGGTTGTTGTGTCCTTTGATGTCAGCCTCCCTGGAGTAGCTGGAAAATCTTTGTAAATAGGAAGGCAAAAGACATCCCTACATTTCGCACCTCTGCGGAAGAGCTTTCTAATAAAAGGGAAAACGAGGCTTGGCATTTGGAACTGGTTTCCGCAGACTAACAGACGGAGCGTGAAATTCTGATGAAAACCTTCTATAACCGAGCTGGACATCAGATTGAGCTTCAAGGACAAATTTCTGAGTCTTACCTCTGGGTTTCGTTTAAAGTCATGCCACATTCACTGGCCACAAGGTTTTGGAAAAGAGCAGCTTTCTAGCATCTGTGGTTGTGCAGCTGAGCTCCCCTGGGGGGTGGGGTGCGAGGGAGAAGAGGAAATGGAAGTAGACTGGACCTGGAGAGAGGAGCTGCAGGAGAGGGTCGCAGGCCCTGTGTCCAGAGCGCTCTACTGTGGTTTTCATCTGTACGAAAGAGCAAACCTCTGAGGGCTATCAAAGCACCCCAGGTTAAGCCAGGGCTTGAGAGAAGGCCTGGTGGAGTAGCTGTGTAATGCTTCATGGCAGCGGTTCTCAACCTGTGGGTCGCCATCCCTTTGGGGGTCGAACGACCCTTTCACAGGGGTCACCTAAGACCATCGCAGAACACATATTTCCGATGGCGATTCATAACAGTAGCAAAATCACAGTTATGAAGTAGCAACGAAATAATTTAATGGTTGGGGGTCACCACAACGTGAGGAACTATATTAAAGGGGCACAGCATTAGGAAGGTTAACCACTGGGTTAGAGGGTTGAAATATGGGGCTTCAGGCGAGGAAATGGTCCCTTATGTAGATGCATCCGGGAGGTAATCGTGCTACCTCGTTTTTGAATGGAACCAGTCACCTGAAGGCAGTGTTGCCTTTCGGAACATGTGCAGTTGAAGAACATTCATTATGCAAAAAAGTTTTATTTGCAAAAGAGAATAGTATTTCTCTTGCATGACACTTGTATTTTATTTGACATGAGACGATGTCCGATTTCTTTAGATACACTTAAATGTCACAGAAACCTATTTTATGAAACCTATTTTTCTCCCTAGAAGTTCCTCCTTTAATTGTATGTGAAAATAATTATTCATGGTTCATAATCTGCTGGGGAACTGACATCATTTTAACAGTTGACAAATAAAACAGCATTTTTCTCTAGTGATACAACTTAGAGGGTAGTCTGTGTGTTGTGCGGAGTGTTTGCTTGTCCCTGTGGTCCTTTCTGTGTTTGCACATGGATTAGGAGGCTCAGCAGTGGAGAAGAGCTCCGGTCACTATGCATATGTTGTTTCTAAGTAGTGGCTCTGGAACTTTCTGATTAGGGAGGAGTCAGCTCATTACTGGGAGACAGCATTCATCCGGCTGTTTCCTTGACCTCTATCCCTTACTTCCTTTGACAGTTGAGAGTAGGCTGTGCTATTATCCATCCCAGAAACTGTATTTAAAAAAACACTTGTGCTATTACTAACACTGTAATACAAATATAAGAAGTGAAGTAAACAGGTAAATTGAATGATCTGGACAAAGTCCCCAGTGACTCAGATGGGTGGAGGAGGAATGAATGGCACTCTTCCTCTAACAAGGATCACTCATGTCAGATTTTCCTGATGTTTTTATAAGTTGCCCCAGCTCATACTGGTCTTTAACATTTGCTATCAACGAAAGGTTATATATATATATTTTTTTATCCTCACCTGAGGACATTTTTTCTATTTTTTGTTCAGATAGAGTGTGGGAGGGAGAGAAAGAGAGAAACATCAACGTGAAAGGGACACGTCGAGTGGTTGCCACCCACACGACCCAACCAGGGCCGGGGACAAACTACAACTGAGGTACGTGCCCTTAGCGGGAACCGAACCGGGTCTCTCAGGACCGCGCCGACGCTCCAACCGCTGAGCCAAACCGGCCAGGGCCGAAAGGTTATATATTAAGATTCAAGTTAACTATAGGAAAGTCACTGCCAAGCTAGAGGTCAACTGCCAGGAATTTCTTAATTCATACTGTGCCAGAGTTATGTTCCTCCTAACTAACGTTTCAGTTATTTGTTTTTCTGTGCATTGCAAGAATGCCACCTTTAATAGAATTTTAGAAATACCTGGTTAATAGGGAACAACTAGAAAAATTAATTTGGAAACTCTCATGTCTTATAAACCTGCTTAGTTATTTTCTAGCCCCTTAGCAAGTTGTTAAAGAAAAATCAAGTGGCCATGAAGGAAGACAGCCCCCGTTCTACATGCTTTTAGTGAACAAATAAGAACTTAGGAATCAAGAAGTTAACAATTTTAAGACATGCTTAAAGTCGAGATGGTATTAAATTGTCTAAAGATCTTTGTGTGAAGAAACTATGAAAACAGAAAAACACCTCTGTTCGCCAGCATAAGCCTCCATAAGCCAGCGTTTTGTCATTTTGAATCTTGTTGAACAACATTCTCAAGGTTATTAAGTTGAGACTTTTGTCTTTTTTATTTTTAGCACACTCAAGTGTGTATATAAATCTCAGGAATGTTGAAGGAGTGACATTCCGCAAGTGTCAAGTTTTTTCTTTTCTGTTGCCTATTGTGAAGAGGAGACCAGTAAATGAAGAATGTTTGATTCTTTCCCCTTTATTTGCTTTCCTAGTGGAGCTTTGTTACAGAATAAAAAATCTTTTTATTTTTTATTTTTGGTGAATGGATTACTAAATAGGAAAATCACGGTTTTGAGTTATTGTTCTCTGATTAATGATTAATTAACCAAGCTCGCATTAATAGGAAAGCATTATTATAGTATTAAATCTCTATGTGGCCTGGCACTGAATTAGTGAATCACAAAGAGAATTCACAATAATCTAGATTCAGAACCAAAAAGTGTACTCTAAGTTGTAGTTGTCAAAGCTGTTTTCTTTTTTAGTGTTCTAGAGTGTGGAGACATGTATCTTTGTAGATTGTCATAGCAACTCAGATTTTGTTCAGTATTAAATTTTGAGGTAACTGTAGCCTATTTTGGGGAGTATTGGTACATTTAATTTAAATTTACCTTCAGTCATTTTGCTATGGTAACAAAGCAATTAATCATGGACTTGAATGAGTGACTAATGAGAACTAGTTGGTTATTAGGATGAGTTCCACTGCAACCTTTAAATACGGCAAAATAGCATATATAGCCTTGAAACTACCTTTTAAAATAAGGATTGGTTTACATTCGGACATTATGTTTCTGTTTATTTATTATGTGTACATAAATGCAAATGGCTATATATGTTTATTGTATATTGAACTCTAAGATGAGCCTATGAATATTAATTGCTTATAGCTGCATTCATTCATTTTTGTTTTATATTCTCCATGTAAAAGGGTAAACATGAATAAATAGTACCATCAATCTTCACATAAATAAAATAAAATAAGGATCAGTTTGAGGAAAAAAATCAATGAAAATAATTAATAGAAAAACGTATTCTTAGGACCAAATGAACTAAATTATAACGAGGAGATTCTTAAACAGGCTATTTGCAACAGTCAAATATTACCTTTCTTTAATAGATGGGAGCTTACTATTTTAAGGATGTGGCTTTGGATAGAGAAGTGTGTCTCTGGTCTAAGAGGACTGCTTACTGTTTGGCAGCACTGTTCTGACTCCGTTTCTTGAGTTACTTTCTCAGTTGTTTGCTTTCTGCTGGGCTCTTGGCTCCGAATAACATATTGGGGATGGAATAGTGACCTATATGATTTTTGAGAATGTTAAAAAGAACACTAAATTGATATTGGCATTCTTGTAATTGCATCTCTTATTTCTTTATTCACTTTCAGTTTGATTAATAAGCTTAAACCTGGTGTCATAAAGAAGATCAATAGACTGTCCACACCAATAGCAGGTTTGGTAAGTAATACATTATCTTTAAAACTAGATCTCTTTGTTTTTGAAATGTAAAAAGATAGACATAGACAGGTTTTCTTACTGGAATTATTGTAGAAAGTGGGTTTGGAGTTCTTTGCTCATGAAAAGCATGTTTTGTGATGTCCTCCTCACACCTTTGGTCCCTCTCTTTGTTTCCCTTATGCCGGAAAGTTTTATTTTATTTATTTTTGTTTGTTTTGAATTTTGTGTCCTCAGACTTTACATATGTCCCTTCTTGGCTTATTATGTCCACAAATTGTATTTGTTTAGGATCACATTCCTTTGAAGCTTAGCCTGCATACATTGTTTGCTAGTTGACCACAGTTTAGGGAAACTGTCCAGTGTTTACCGGTGGTTCTGTTTCTGGCACTTCCTGCTGACGCGCTGCCCTCACTCGGCACGCAGAGCTGGGAGTGTATTTGCCAAGTGCTCAGGACCTGCGAGCTCTTCTACTTTATGTACCAGCTTTCCTACCAGCATCCCGTGTGACCCTGGGCATGTCCTCCCCTTTGCCTCAGTAATACTATCCATAAAGTGACTATGGATGATTCTCTAGACTTTTTAGCTTTAAATTTGGAGTTTTGCATATGAAAACTACCTCATGCTGTCATTATATAATGATTCTGGTGGGTCAGGACACTGAAGGGACCAGTAATAAGGTAGGGCCATGTCTTTGGAAATAAGTAATTTATAATTAAAACACAAATGATGGATAATATTCAAAATTTTAGCTATAGCTAATATCAAGGTTGATTATAGAATTCAGTTAAAACATTTAATTTCATAAAACACTACATTTAAGAGCTAATAATTAGAATGTAAGGGGAAAAAAACATATTCTCTTTGGAATAGTCAAGCTGTGTTTATAATACATTTAGGAACCTTCTGTTTGTCTACAATGTGTATGCAGGTGTTAAAGGTATGAAGAATTAAATATAGCAAGGCCAAAATGTTTGGATTTGCAGTTGTCATAAAATTCTCATCAGTGGGGTGGGGGCGTGGTAAAGGGTAAAGGGGGTCAAATATCTGGTGATGTAAGAGGATTCAACTTTGGGTGGTGAGGAGATAATACAATATACTGATGATGTATCATAGACTTGAACACTTGCAACCTATATAATTTTATTGACCAATGTCACCCCCAATAAATTTAATTTAAAAAAAAACTAAAAGAAAATCTCATCATAACTTTGACAGAAATGAATTATTTGCAGAGTGTTTTTTATTAGAAAATGTCTGTCTAGCAGTATATGACTATATTGCAATATATGAATATGTTTATGAATTACTGATAGTAATAGAATACATTGGAAGGTATTAAGGTATACATTAAAGAAATTTATTTTTTGAAGTGTTTCGAGGAAGAATATTTGGTTTAATAAACTAAATAGGCTTTATATGAAAATAACTTCTGTGAAAATTGAAAGTTTAAAGTGTTGAAAGTACTCTCCGTCTTTTCAAATGGCTTGAGTTATTCTTAGATAGTTTAATGCCTAGATTTTAAATTGTCATTTCTTGGATCAATTACATATATTTTAAATAAAATTAGCTTTTGATCTCAAACACTGCATATTTGGAATGCTTGAATGATGGTGGTTTGTTGTTGGCCACTAGAGGTTTTATTCAATCTTCTGATTCTATGGTGAGATGAAATCACAAATGTAATTTTAAATCCAAAGATCTCCTCAAATATTTTTATTTAAAGCATCAGAAATTCTATCTGGTTTGGATTTTATCTCTAGAAACTAAAACGAAATGCATTTCCAGCATATTAAGAAGGATGATTTCCCAAATGCAAGACAATGAGTATTTTCAGTTGAATGTAGGAGCATACATGTGACCACAGCCTCAGAATTGGGATAAGCTCGATTGATTTGAAGTTATTATCATGCCTCATTTGATTCCTTCCTCTGATGCTGTGTGGCAGGACGGTTATAGCAAACTTTAAAGCCTTAATTTCAAGTGTTAATTAGAGCTCCAGCATCTATCTAGAAGGGTTGTTATGAGGAGGAAATGGAAGATATATAGATGGTCTGACACACAGATATTTAATTAATGTTCTCTTGTAGCACATTCATTCTTTTAACATAGTGCCTATTGGGTCAAGAATTTTTCAGTTTGTAGGGATATATTGGAGGAACATAGACAAATAAGGAGCTTACTTTTAAAGTGCTTACATTCTAGTGGGGGAACAGTGATTAAGCAAATAAATTAACAAATGAGCAAGAAAACATCAGATGATAAATGTTCTGTAGAGAACTATAGTAGACCATGACTTTGACACTCATGAGTAGTTATAGTGGGACTATGAAGATTGACCTCTAAGAATTCTTCAAGCAGGATGGTGTCAGCCCTGGCCAGTGTGGCTCAATCAGTTGGAGCATTGCCCCATACATTGAAAGATGCCGGGTTCAATTCCCAGTCAGGGCTCATACCCAGGTTGTGGGTTTAATCTCCCGTTGTGGCATGCATAGGAGTCAATAGATCAATGTTTCTCTCTGTCTACAGCTCTCATTCAAGTCAATTAAATAAAAAAAAGTATTTCAGAAGGCTTGATTTTGACATGTCTAGAAGAAGCTGAGCCAGACTCTTTTTTTTTTTTTTATCCTCACCCGAGGACATTTTTCCATTTTTTGTTCAGATAGAGTTGGAGGGAGAGAGAAAAAGAGAGAGAGAAACATCGATGTGAAAGGGACACATCGAGTGGCTGCCTCCAGCACGACCAACCAGGGCCGGGGACAAACTGCAACCGAGGTACATGCCCTTAGCGGGAACCGAACCCAGGTCTCTCTGGACCGCAGGCTGACGCTCTAACCGCTGAGCCAAACCGGCCAGGGCTGAGCCAGACTCTTCATGTTAGTGATTTTTTTTTTAATCGTCACCTGAGGACATTTTTGCATTTATCTTCAGATAGATGGGAGGGAGAGATGGGGGAAGAGAGAGAGAGAGAAACATCAATGTGAGAAAGACACATCGAGTGGTTGCCACCCACACAACCCCAACCAGGGCAGGGACAAACTGCAAACGAGGTACATGCCCTTAGTGGGAACCGAACCTGGGACTCTCTGGTTCGTTGTCCGACACTCTAACCGCTGAGCCAAACCGGCCAGGACCATGTTAGTGATTTTTGTGTTCACAGCACATAGCATAGTGACTGATATAGGTAGGAGACCAAAGATTTTTAAATGAATGAATAAATAAGATTTCCATTGTGAAAGAGGGTAGGCTCCAAAATTAGGTCTTTGATGGGATCGTGTTACAGGTTGAATTGTGTCCCCTGCGCACCCCCTCCCCAAAGACATAATATATTGAGGTTATAAAACCCCCCACCTCAGAGTGTGATCTTATTTGGGAAAAAGGTTGTTGCAGATGATGTAACTGGTTAAGCTGAGGTCATACTGGAGTAGGGTGGGCACGTAATCTAACACGATGGGTGTTTTTATGAGAAAAGGGCCATGTGAAGACAGATGCACAGGAAGACTGCCTTGTGACAACCGAGGGCTTCAGTGATGTATCTACAGGCCAAAGAACACCAGAGATTGCTGGCAAACCACCAGCAGCAAGGAAGAATTCCCCTACCGGTTTCATAGGGCTTTGTGGACACCTTGATTTTTGGACTTCTTGCTCCAGAATTGTGAGACAATACATCTCTGTTGTTGTAAGCCACTAACTCTGTGGTACTTTGTTATGGCAGCCCTAGGAAACTAATACAGACAGGTAAATGTCTTAGTTAACGCACACTTTAAAAAAAACTTTATTTTGAAATAAATATAGATTCACAGAAAATTGCAACAAACAACAGACAAATAAAATGAACAAGCAGTACAGAGAGGTTCTCTGTGCCCTTCACCCATTTTCCCCAGATGTTAACATCTTGCATAACTGTGGTAGAGTATTAAAACCAGGAAATTGACATTGATACATTCAAAGATGTTAATCAAAACTCACCAGTTTTACACATAGTTAATGCTTTTTTTGTTACAAAGACCGGAGATCTTTAAGCTAAGTGAGGTGTAGAGTGTTTTACTTCAAGGACTTTTCAGAGAATTCTCCTGTTAGCCCAGCATAAACATGGCTGCTGCATTCCACATGACAATTTTTTTAAAATCCTCTTCTGAGGATATTTTTTTCATTGATTTTCAGATAGATTGAGATCGGGGTGGGGTGAGAAACATCGATGTGAGAGAGACACATCAATTGGTTGCCTCCCACATGACCCTGATGAGGACCACGGATCGAACCGTAACCAAGGTACGTGCCCTTGACCGGAATTGAACCTGACACTCCTTGGTCTGCAGGCTGTTGCTCTAACCGCTGAGCCAACCCGGCCAGGGCCACAATGTTACGTTTTTCCTTTGGGGAATGGTGTTTCCTAGTTGAGGGTCTCAATCTGAATAGATCAGGTTGCCTTTTCTTTCCAGGCTACTGATATCATGGCCAGCCTGTGCATGAGTTCCTTGAGAAGGAAGTCGTCTTGGCCAAATGGGCTGTGGTCAGGAGTGTTGGTTCCCTTTGGCTCACTCAGTTTATGTGTGTGGATTGACGTGGGCTCTGTGAATGAGGTTTGTGTGGGGTAGATACATCAAGTTAAGTCAAATACAGTAAGAATTATGTAATTTCTGTGAACTAGTTGTTAACCTGAGTGATTATAGTACTCTAAGCCACCTCTTCTAATACTCCTTTCTTATTTTCTTTCCTGCAACTATAACTTTCCATATCAGTTACCATGTATATTTAGCTTGGAAGCCATTGCAGTGGATTTACCTTTGCACGTGAACCTGTGTGAAAAACATGAGCAATGACAATTCAGAAAGAGATGTTTAGATAATTTAGAAATATATTGACTGCTTTGCTTGAAGCATTCATTATTATTATTATTGTTATTATTATTATTATTTTTTTGGTGGGGGAACACAGTAACCATGTTCCCAAAGAGATGTGACTTTTCTTAGTTGACTGAGTTTTATATTATAAAGAAATAG